AAATACCACATAAAGGAGTGCCTTGACACATGGCTTTGCCCTGAATCCCTACTTTGACCTACTGTTGTCATCATTAAACCTACTCTGAATCTTTCCCAAACTACTGATCCTATAGGACAGGGCCTTGAGGATAAAGTTGACTCTTGTGACAATGATACTGAAACTCTATGTTGGTACCTTGGGTAATGCCTCTCCTGACTAACAGAGTACCCAGACATTTTGTTTAGTGTTAATAAAATGAAGGTCCTTCGTTGAATATAAAACTGATGATCTTGTCTGTAAATCTTCACTAATTTCGCAACAAAAGTTTTAAAAAACATGAAAAAAAAGTGAAGGCCTAAGCAATGTACAAATTAGTGTAATTATGTGCCACTGTAGGATCATGCACTGGACTACAAGTTTGGTTTGAATCACAAGATCAGTGGTTCAGACTTACTAGCTGCTCCTTGAAAACCCGATACAGTGTCATTATGAATCAGAACTAATTCAACAGCACTTTGCAACAATAGCGTGACACTTTAGAAGTCTTGGTGTGGCACTGGAGGATAAGGGCAGGACCGCAAGGTCAGTGTGAACCACAAGGTAAGTGGTTCAAACTCACCAGCTGCTCCTCAGAAATTCCATAAGGGATCACTGAGTCTAAACCAAGTGGATGACACTTAACAACAACCACAACATGCCACTTCAGAATTTGAAATGTAATTTCATATCTACTGTCTATTTCTTTTGCTACAAACTGCATTCTAGCAAAATCATTCCTGGAAGTTACAGAAGTGAGAGCCCATGTTTATCAGAATATGTGAAGTGATTTGATTTTCTATCATGAGCCGTGTACATACATTACTGAAGTCTATCCTGTTGCCATTGAGTTGATTCTGATTTATGGTGACCCCAATGTGTGTTAAAGTAGAACTATGCTCCATAGGGTTTTGAAGAATATGATTTTTGTAAGCAGATCACCAGGCCTTTATTCGATTTTTGTAAGCAGATCACCAGGCCTTTATTCCAAGATACATATGAGTGGACTTAAGCCTCCATCCTTTTGGTTAGCTGAGCCTGTTAGCCATTTACACTTCCTAGGGACTCCAACTACTACATTAAAAACAAAACATTATTCATCACCATGCAGTCAATCCTGGCTTAGAGCAACCTTATGGGGACACATCTTTCTCTCATAGACCAGCTGGTGGGTTCAAATAGACCTCTTCGCTACAACTGAGCGTGGAACCATTGTGCTACCACGGCTCCTTACTACTAGATTGTTGTTGTTACTATTGTTAAGTGCCATCAAGTCGGTTCTGACTCATAGTGACCCTGTATAAGGGTTTCCAAGGAGCAGCTGGTGGGTTTGAACTGCCAATCTTGTGGTTAGCAGTCCAGTACTTATCCTACAGCATGACATGAGGACTCCTACTACTGCATTGTTGTTTTTCTTGTTGTTAAGTGCAGTCGAGTCGGTTCCGATGCATAGCAACTCTGTATAGGGTTTCTGAGGAGCATCTGGTGAGCTTGAACCGCTGACCTTGGAGTTCAAACGGCTTTGCAGTCTGGCGCATTAACTCACAGTGCCACACCAGGAGTCCTGCATTAGATACCTAAAATTTCAATATAAATTATCATGTTTTTTAAAAAAAAAATACAACTTTTATTTTAAAAAGTTCATTTCCTGGTCTTTACAGTTGTTTTGTGTGTGTGTGTAAAGATCAGGAAATGAACTTTTTAAAATAAAAGTTGTATTTTTTT